AATGCCGAGCTGTAAGAGGGGAACTTTTGGCTGTCCAGGGCCCCGGCCGAACCAAAGGGGCCCCGGCGAACAAGCTGGGCTTGAGGGTGCTCCAGGGCTTCTGACCCAGAGAACGTAGGAGAAAGACGAGGCGTGCCAGGTTGACTGGTCTGGAGACAGTGAGGACAACAGATCTTAGATTACTCTATTCTCTCAAATCAAAAGAAATCTTTTTTAAAAAGTAAACCAATGCCTCCCTACTGACCTGTAGTTAATATAAGCAAATGTGAAATAAGAAATCTCAGATTTTTCTTTGAAATCTCCTGATGAATGTCACTGACCTGAGATTGGAAGCCATCAAAGGCTTGGAGAGGTTGGTGGTCCACAAAGGAGCTCCAGACATTTGGCTGAACAGCAGGGTGTGAAGTCTGGGCAGTGGAAATGGTTAACGGCTTAAATCCTGAAGAGGAGCTTCCTCCACCTCCCAGGCTGAGATGCTCCTCAGATCCTACAGAGAGACGACTCTCACCAAACCATAGAGCTGTGGTGCCGGTATTACTGTTGTTGTTGTTGATGTTGGCATTAAACTGACAGGTTGGGCTGAAGTCTGCCATCCGGTTCCTATTCCCACTGCCGTAGTAGGAATCAGCCGAGCTGGAGCTGCTGCCCAGTGAGCTGGAGCTGTCGTTTCGATAGTTGGAAGACATCCTGACAGCACTGTTAATATTGCTATTGACTTGCTGAGTACCATTGATACTCCCTGGCAACACGCTACCAGCACCTGCTGGTGATGTGCCTGCATGGAGCCACCCATCTTTTCCTAATCCCAGTGGTGTCAGCAAACTATCAAAGCTAACATCTGTCCCATTGTACTGAAAATCGTTGTTGTCTACCCCTGGAACCTCCATGGCCCCACCTGTGCCAGTACGGAGAGCAATGTGAGCCTCGATTTCCTCCCTCGCTCTGTCAACATTCTCCGGCATCCCAGTGACCTCAAATACAGGCTCTTTGTCCCGACTCGGCGTAACAATGTAGGTGTGGGTTTGCTGCTGGATTCGTTTGATGGTTGCACCTGAAAGATATGACCATGTCAGGATGCTGGCGCTTGAAAACAGTAAATAGCTACGCCTATTTTACCTTCCTTCCCATTTAAACAATGTTTTTTCTTCCTGCCTGTCTTCAGCCAAGCACGGACATTTCAGAACATGTCTTTAACATTAGTCAGTGGGCACAAGGACAAGTTAGAGTGTATAGTGTATAAAAGTATAAAAAATCAGTTATACACATCGACTTCCTTACCGTGGTCTTTGTCTTTTTCACTCCACTTGTATCGCTATTGACTTTTTCAGTTACCCCACCCCTCCAACCTAATGGCACATGGCTGAGAACAACTGCAGTGCAATTTACAAATCAACCTTAAAGGATTTGACGCAAATCAAGAATAATTTTAAACACTATTTTGAAAACTCTTGTGTGGCATGCAGAGGAACCAAATAAAAAGTTCACCATAATGTTGATCAGTTTGGTTATTTTAAGCCTCATTACATCTACAACTATGTATGTTCTACAGCAGGATGTTTGGTGGTTGGAGCAGACACAACACTCACCAGTATAATAAACAAAAAAGGGTACTTACCTTTGGGACCCACAACTAGCCCCACCACACGGTAAGGCACTCGAACCTGCAGGACAGAAATAAAATAATAATTATAAAATAGTTGAGACACAAGCGTTATAATAAGAAAAACAACATGTTATTGTGCTTAACTTTATAAAGTAAATATATAAATACATTCAATGTATCAGTTTCTTAATTTTCCTAAGGGATTAACAAAGTTCTATCTGTCTATCTATATATCACGAGAACGAGAAAGTACGGCAAAGAAAAAAAGCTTTGAAAAAATAAATTAATTTTCTAATTGTTATTCACTATGTTATTTAGTGAGTGCTCTAAGAAGACTATTTTTATGTTGCTGAAAGTCATCAATATTAACTGCCAGAGGGAAAAACATTAACAGACATTTATAGGAAGATACAATATAAATAAAAAAACATATGTAGGACTGAAAGAACTACACAATGCCTCATCCATAAGAGACCGACCTGAATGGTGGTCTGTCCAGGTAGAGTAGGCATGCCAGGACCAGTGACAGCAGTGAGAGGGCTCATCTTGTTACGGGATGCTCTGATGAGGGAGAAGTGTTCGGCTGCAGACAGAATCTCCCTCTTAGCCATTGCCACATCTTCTTTACGCCCTGTCACAACAAAGACGGGTTGCTCGCCTCTCACTGGAGTCTTTATGTAGGTGTTGGTCTTGGCTCGGAGTGCCTTGATCTTACAGCCTACACAAAAACCAAGAGATGTTAAAAAACACAGTTGTGTGCATTTGAAGCCTAATAGTTAATTGACCAAAAATATTTAAACTTTACTGGTCAACTAAAACAAAAGACAGGGTTAAATGTTACAGCTGCGTCTGTGGTTGCCCATTTGGAGCTCTTTGTTTTGTGATTTGTTTGGCAACGTACCTTTTTATCTGGACAGAATAATTTCGAAGCAAAGAACAGAGGGGTTGATTAAATTTAGTGAGGATGTTGTTTATGATTCCATGAACAAGTGAAAACATTTTGATGTTGATATGGATATTTAACCTCACGCCACCAAGTTGTAAATTTGTTAAGATTGAAAACAATCAAAGTTTGATTGTTTCCTTTTAGCCAAAACATTTTCAGGAGTGGGTCGGGCAACAAATAGCTACAGCTGATGTGGCAATGGTGACCACCACTGTGTTCTTCATCAAAGACAAAAGCAAAGCCTGAATTAGCTCGACTTGGTACGATTATAAGTAACGGCACACTTTCACAAACGCAAAAATGAACTATCCACCACATAGTCACGCCGACAAAAAAGTGCGACTCAGATAGAAGCGCTTGTTTATTTAAAAAAAAAACTGATGTAAACTTTTGCTGTAGAACAGGATGGTGGTGACCGAGTGCTAGGCTAACTGCTTAAAGCTAAGACAAACAGTTGAAGCTTAATGTGGTACAGGATTAAACATGTTAACTCTCATCACAAACATTAGAACCAATATTTTTATGATCAATATTGAATGATTATTGGACAAACATAATTTAGCTTAACTTTTAGCCCTTGCATCCAACCCTTACACACACAATAACTCACCCTGTCTACCCACAATCTCTGCGACGTGCTCGGAGCTCGGCACAGACACACACTCGGTGGTGTTGACGCTCTTTCTTCGAGTCAACAGCGACGGTTCGGTCTCGTATCCGGGCTCCGCGAACACGCCGGACGGCAGCATCGCCATGCCGCTAGACGATAGCAGGGCGCTGCCTCCACCGACTGCGGAATCGTCCTGCTTCCGTCCATTATAAAGCAACACTGTCTCGACATGCTCCATTCTAGAAGGTATCACGCAACCATTCAGCCCCGACGAGAGGTGTTTGTTATGGTGGGCCTGAGCCAGCAGCGAGCTGCCGGTGCAAACCGAGGAGGTGTCGACCGCAGCCCCTGGCTTCTCGTTTTCCGGCGCCGTTTTCACCTCTTCCCCCGAGTGTGTCTGGTGTACAGGCAGTGGTTTTAAGTCTAAAACCGTACCGAGAAGGCTAAAGTTAATTACCGATGGGAGTTGCTGCTGCTGTTGGTGATGGTGAAAGGACAGGCTATCGTCCACTTGTTCTGGGCTTTGGCTCTGAGTACCGTGGTGCTCATCAAGGCCAATACCGGCGAAAGCGTGCACCAGCGGCGATGGGACCTCGGACTCTCCTTCGTCAGCCTCAAGCAAAGAAGTGCTACTAGGCATAGCGATGCAGAGGTTGAAACAATGTTGCTAGTAAGTATTGATATGAGTAGGAAGTAAAAATGTACGTGAAATTGCAAATTAAGAAAACGCGACCAGCGCCTGTCGATTGATATGTGCAGCTTTTGTTTTGTCTTTCTTCCCATGCAGTCCTTCCAACACTGTGATCTCGCACTTTTCTTTCACGCGAGACTTTGCTTTTGGGTCAGCACTGCACTCACAAAAGTTAACACTTTTCCTCTTCCATTCCTTCATTATCATTCCATGTAGGTGAAACCAAATTTATTTATTTTTCATTATTAACAATAGTAAAAAAAGAACAATTACATAAGACCCTTCCCCCATCAATTTGGCTCTCCCAAAGAAGTCATTTTTTTAAATTAAATTCTCTCAATAGCCGGTATGTTTGATTATCATGTTTTTACATTAAAAGGGTTTCTGTGTTTTGATAACGACTATATGATGTGTTCTCTTGTATGCTTTCAATTGTGAGGTCAGGAAATTTAACATCAGCCTTGAAATTTCAAAAATAAAGAATCTTGTTGTTCTAGAAAACATGTAATTCACCTTGTATTATGTTATTTTACTCCACAGAGCATTACAAATAACATAGTAATAACAATAGTAGTAAATTCCTTTTATGATTATATATATATGAGGGTAAGACCAACAAGTAACATTGTAGAGAAAAACAGGTTTAACGTTTCTAAGTATTATATTTTCTTTTAGAAATTAATGCTTGCCATCATTATTGGAAAAAGTTTTTATTTAGAGGTTATATAGTTCGTCAAACCATCAATAAGCGTATGCCATCATGGTTACCCAAAGTTGCATTACAACTCCAGCCACGTTGAAGTGTATTGCATAATGATGTGTCGTTCGCGAATAATTTTCTTTCTTTCATATGACTCGTGACTCCCGAGTCATATGAAAGATTCGTGACTCGTGATTCCCGAGTCATATGAAACATTTGTTCATTTTGAACTCATGAATCACAAATTACAATCTGCAAACTAATCTTTCACTGTGAACTAACCTTTCATTGCAAACGAATCACTCTCTGTGAACTAATCTTTCGCTGTGAACGAATCATTCTCTGCGAAGTTATCTTTCGCTGTGAACAAATCTTTCGCCGTGAACTAATCTTTCGCTGCGAACTATTCACTATGAAGTTATCTTTCGCTGTGAACAAATCTTTCGCCGTGAACTAATCTTTCGCTGCGAATTCACTATGAACGAATCATTCTCAACGAATCATTCTCTGCGAAGTTATCTTTCGCTGTGAACAAATCTTTCGCCGTGAACTAATCTTTCGCTGCGAACTAATCACTATGAACTAATCATTCTCTGTGAACTAATCTTTCGCTTCGTTCTCGCAGATCCGTTCCATTTGTCACGTGACAGAGAGCTCTGGTCTCTTTTGCTCTCAATTATCTTCACATTGTGGTGTGTTTTTATTTCTTAGCTTTTCGCATGGTTTTAATTGCTAATGGCATTTTGTGTACTTTGTAGACTTTGTGAGCGGAAGCAAACCATGTTGCCTTTGGTATTTAGTGTCGGAGAACCGCAGCCTATTGAATGTAATGATTAGTTCAAGATTCGTTCACAACTCGTTCGTTTTACTGTTCGAGAGTCAAAGATTCGATAAAAAGAGTCTGTCTTCCCATCACTAGTATTGCACTAGCCAGTCTATCTTACTATGTGGCCGTGGTTCACGTGACCTCACATTCTTTATTCTAACCAATGAGAACGAGAGTATGAGCTGGGCTTTAATGGGTGAAAGCCAATCCAGTGTTACGTTTGTGACCGTCATTTAGGATTATTCACATCCGGGTGAGTTTTTCGAGGTGAGTCGCTAATGCTGACTGAGACGAAATAATTAATTTAGAAATATTGGTATTTTATTTTTAATATTATTTGCGCAAACACGAAGGCGGAGCTACTACATTAGAACACAATTTGTAGGGATAGGACATATTCTCGATGTGGCTTTTTATCACTTAATTAAGGTGAAGCAGCTAGCCCTTTAGCTTTTAGCTAATGATTGTCGCTATAAACTGTGCCCGACTTCGCTTTGTCACAATTTGTATTGTCAAACCACAATCCCTACTAGTTGAGTTTCACGCGTCGTTGTCTTATTTCCCCAGATCAGTCTTAGTTTTCGCTCTCAAGCTGTTGGCTCTCGGTGTTCATGATGTACGGATCCTTCCGGGTACTGCTGCAGGTCCTGTGGGCCCTGCTGCTCTGGGGCTGGGCTCTCGGCTCCGAGCTGACATTTGAGCTACCAGACAACGCCAAGCAGTGTTTCTACGAGGATATTATCATCGGAACTAAATGTACACTAGAATTCCAGGTACGTCTTGTCCACTTTCGCACCTCCAGGACAACCTGGCTGAAAGGCAACGTGACTTGTTCAAACCTCTATTAAGACGTTGCATTTTTTATGAAGAACCACTGTGACCGTGGTTATTACGTATTTTTGTTCAAGTAACCTTTAAAATTATTAAAGAAATACATTATCTACTATAACACTGTCCGTGTTATAGTTTTCTTTATTACATCAACAACTGTGACAATATATTTATTTTTATTTTGCCTGAAACATTGGTCTCTTGTGTACTTCATAGACTTTAATACAGTAATATACTGTTATCTTTCCAGGTAGTGACTGGTGGTCACTATGATGTGGATTGCCGATTGGAGGACGGGGATGGAAACATCCTGTATAAGGAGATGAAGAAGCAATATGACAGTTTTACCTTCACTGCATCCAAGAATGGCACCTACAAGTTCTGCTTCAGTAATGAGTTCTCTACCTTTACACACAAAACTGTATATTTCGACTTTCAGGTTGGAGAGGATCCTCCACTCTTCCCCAATGAGAACAGAGTCACTGCTCTGACCCAGGTGAGCAAGTCTGTGTCTTCAACCATATCCATATTAGTAGGTGTTTCACACTGACATTGTTCCATTTTTGCTTTATTGTTAAGGATACAAAATCCTTTCTCAAAACATTATATAGTGCAAGAAGATAATCAGAAATACTTAAATGATCCCCAGGGGTAAATTGTTGGAAGCTTTGATCCACACCTCTTCCTCTTCTTTATTGTTACAATTGCACTTTTAAGAAATATTTCTAGAACATTAACATTGAGGTTTTAATTTCCTGTACTATGTAATAACCCCAAGCAATTCCCAGCATAGCATCACGTCACTTCAAATGTGTTTAAGAAGTTTAACCGGCTGTTTAACTGAGTTTTGCTTAGGGGGTTCTCTACATTTTTGCAGTTGTTTTTTTCTTATCAGGTATTAACCAAAACATGTTCATTATTGCTAATTATAAATCATTAAGGTGTTCTTCAAACCTGCAACAAAAACATTTAAATATAATTGTAACTTTTATACCTGCCCCCAAACAAAATTAAATTAAAGGAATCTTAAACAATTCAAGATAGTGATATTCAAGTCAAACACATTTTTAATGTCATACACAAATCTTAGCTTTCATTGTATCTCTTTTTTTATGTATATATATATATATAGATGGAATCAGCTTGTGTGTCCATCCATGAGGCTCTGAAGTCTGTCATAGACTACCAGACACATTTCCGCCTCCGTGAGGCTCAGGGACGCAGTCGTGCAGAGGACCTGAACACTCGTGTTGCCTTCTGGTCTATTGGAGAAGCTATTATCCTCTTGGTGGTCAGCATCAGCCAGGTTGTTCTGCTGAGAAGCTTTTTCTCTGAAAGAAAGACCACTACAACACGTGTTGGATCGTAACATTCTCTGAGCTCTGAGATGGTAATTTTAACCTCCTCACGCATGGAGTTGGCTTGAATAGCAGTGCTGATCTAGAACGGTTTTATATCAAACTGCCAGATCTCACAATCTGACATGTCCTTTATTTTCATCACTGCTCTTCCAGGAAACTTCATGCAAAATGAGAATTATAAAAGAAAGGGTGTGGTTGAAATTCGGACAAAAAGTTAAATGGAGAAAAAAAAAACCCAGAAGAAGTCTCAAGTTGATTGTAAATATTTGTATTCGAAGCAGTTAAAACATCTGGCCATTCAGGCAAACCTTTAAACTTTGAGTATTTGAAATAATTTTGTTTTTACATTGTTTTTGTTCTTTTTTTGCACCCATTATATCATATACCTTAATTCTGTTCAACATTCAGCCCATATGCTGTACTGAAATAAGTAGACAACAAAGAAATTATGGGTTCTGTTGGGTATTTTTCTACCTGCAAAACATTTAGGTTTATATCCTTTAAAATAACATTATTTGTTAGAAAACAAAATAATTCTCATGCCTTTCTTGTTATTAAACCTGGTTTTATCCGGTGGTAATGACCAGGTATTGTCTTTGCATTTACTGGTTTTGCCATTTTAAATAAGTCATTTACAGTGGTAATGCTGTGAATTGTAAGGTCTCTTTAATATTAAGCTGATTTTATACTTTGTGAGGGTGAACCCATATGATGTTTGAAAAAGTAACATTTTGTCAAATATGTTGCCTATAGTTCATTGAACAAAAATATTATCAAATTGTTATTCCCAGTTTTTCATGTTCTACCTAGTGCTGTCTAGCAAGTGCAACAACCTATTTATGTTTTTGTCTATTTGGGGTTTTAAAAAGTTCTTGTGAACATTCATGTGGGTTTTCTTTGCGAAATACTGCTTGAATATAAGGATTCTCGAAACTTTTGAGTTCTTGTTGTAATTTTGAATTAGACCAGTTTAAAAATGACAATGTTTTACAAATCAAATTTGTTTTGTATTTTTATTGATTTTAATATTATGATCTTGATTTGGGTAATTATTTTCTAGTATGTTTCATAAGGAACTATGAACATACAGTACAACACCCAAAAGTCAAAAGAAGCTTTAAAACGTTGTAGTGTCTTGTTCTTATATTAATGTAATACACACAGTAAAAAAACACATACACCAGTTAATATGGAATTAATCAAGTCCCCCTTTAAAATGACTAAAATTTAAGGAGCACTTCATCTTTTACTGTGGAGCTTTAAGTAACCTGAAGTTCCATGTTGTGCCTAAGTGTCACCCTATGCCTGGATAGAAGCTTGCATTCTGATGCAACTTTTTAAAGGGGTTATTTTAAGTCTTTAATTGCATGTTCAGGTAAGTTTATATAACATTCACAAATTATTTTTTACATAATTTCTGCCATCAACGTAACAAATGTTTTAAATTAATAACAATGTGCCTTCAACTTTTAATTACACATGATAACTGCAATGTGGCTCGCAACATTTATGCAAGTAAGTTGTATTATTTAACGAACGATACGAAATGAGCCAAACAATATGCTTGTAAAGTTTACATACAAACTTAAACGTTTGTCTTTATTGGAACAAGGGCCAAATGGCTTATATGATGGCAGCCAGATATTTGTATGTTCCGTGATACAAAGCGCTTGAAGCTGAAGCGTCATTTCTGACCCTGCATTTCATGTTCTCAACCTGCAGGGAGTGATAGAGTCAAGGTCCTGTCAACTGCAGCGGTAGATTAGTGACGTAAAACATTGTGTCACCCTGGCAGATTTACGAGCTTTATGATTACGAATATTATTATTGTGGTGATTATTATTATTTAAATTAGCAATTTGAGATTAAGTGTAAAAAGGTTATTTTTAGAAATTGTGTTATTCTTCCTACTAACAGATTAAAAACATTTTAAAATATAACACACAAGTCAATAAAACTGCATAAAAATGTTTTTAAAAATAAACGCAAATATGGAAAAATATACAATTTAGGAAATCTATAATAGAACTAATGAGAATGAGTTAGTGAGAAAAATACACTACAGAGTACATTACACACAAAATATAAGACTACGGATATTTAATAATCATGCAAACAAAACGCAGAAAATGGTGAAAAAATATTGGATTTTTGTAGCCACTGGTTTTTTATTTATTTAGGTGAGAACAGACACACACAGTCGCCCTCAATTTAAGACGATGACAAGAATTGACACTGGAAAAGTAAGACAAAACCAGGCCGTGATTTTCGGGAAGACACGAGGAAGGCGGACCGCTTAATGTTTTTATTGCATTTTGATTGGTTGAGCAGCGCTGCATTTGCTCTGTGATTAGTTGTTAAAATGCCAATCTTTGGCTCTGCCAGAGAAAACCACTGCGTTGCGTTTGTGATTTCACAGAAAGTCAGTCGTGATCCAGTTGAGCCGTGGGTGGATAGAGAGAGCCTTCCCCTGTTTACCTTCATCCGAGCTGAGATAACCGCGTTACCAGTGCCTACTTGGTTTATTGTTCTTCGTTGTTTTTTCGGGATAAGGTTTGTCCATTTATTCCCTGGTGTGTTTGTGGAGATAGGACGCCCTGGATGTCAGGGATTCCCCCAAACTGAAGAGCGACCGTCATTTCTCAGGCTAAGCTAGCAGGCAGCCAGCCACACGGCCAAACGGGTGGGGGTGGATTTCTACATTTCGGCCCACGGAAAGTGAATTTAAATGACGTGAGGAGCGTGTGTTGGAACAATGACGAGCAGAGTACGTGGATGTAATGGTGGAGAGTCGGTAGAAAGTGAAGAAATGGCCGTGGATGAGAATTTTTAAAGAGGTGTAAAGTGTTTTCAGCTAAGCGACGCTAGTTACTTAGCTTTAACTGATAAGGAAGTTTAGCCTCATTGCTAACTCTGACCAATGCTTGACTAAAGGTCGCCTTAAACGCGTTTGTTACAAAGTTAATTATCCGTACAACGGGCCGATTATGGTGGTTTACGAAAATGGAGGTTCATAATGTTAACATATCCTTGTGACTTTTAAACCAAAAACCAGTGTCAGTCATAAAGTGTAAGCTTGTAAACAAAGAGTTAGGAGCTCCACCTGTTCACAGCGACGTCACACCTCGAGGTACTGTCCGAATATTGTATCAAAACTCACCCAGTGAAATGGATTTAAAGACGGCAGTATTTAATGCAGCAAGGGACGGTAAACTTCGGTTGCTGCAGAAACTCCTGGAGAACAAAGATGGACATGAAGTGACAAAGATAATTGGCGAGAAAACAAACGGGGCCACGCCGCTCCTGATGGCCGCCCGTTACGGCCACCTGGACTTGGTGGAATATCTGCTGGAGTGCTGCTGCGCACCTGTGGAGGTAGGTGGTTCAGTGAACTTTGATGGAGAGACCATAGAGGGGGCTCCACCGCTTTGGGCTGCCTCGGCAGCGGGACACCTAAAGGTAGTCCAGTCTCTGCTGGGCCATGGTGCTTCAGTCAACAGCACAACCCTGACCAACTCCACACCACTGAGGGCAGCCTGCTTTGACGGACACCTGGACATTGTGAAATATCTGGTGGAGCACAAGGCTGACCTGGAGGTAGCCAACCGACATGGTCACACATGCCTGATGATTTCCTGCTACAAGGGACACAAGGAGATAGCTCAATACCTGCTCGAGAAAGGTGCAGATGTCAACCGGAAAAGTGTTAAAGGTCAGTGAACAACTGTGGCACGATTGTGGATGTAAATATACAACTGAGGAACTTAAGCTAAATTTGATATGCTCCCTATCCTTCGACCACTTTCTAGCCCAGTGATGCCCAACCACTGTGCCGTGCCACAATAGTGTGTCATGAGAGATCGGTATGTGTACGATTTAAAAAATAAAAAATGATTTAATCAAATTTTACTTAATGTGGTATGAAAACAATTTTTTTCATATTGCAGCTAATTTGATTTTGTTCATCTATGTCTCCGGTACTGGCAGAAGATGAAAAAAAACTAAATTCCTGTTGAGTAAATTGGTTGTTAATGGAAAGGAGTAGAACATTTTATTTCATTACATTTTATCTTTATTTCAATTTGTGTGGTCTGGTTAGAGATTTTTGTAATGTAGTATTTACAAATATTTGCTAGGGGTCAAAATAAAAAGGGAAATACTGTTGTAGCCTATTAGTTAAAGAAATGCTTATAGTTTGTTAGCAGGCAAGCTAATCACCCCCCTGTAAAAATATGACAGTGCCATTATTTAAAATGCAGATTGGTACATGAATAATGCTATGACATTATATAATCTTATTAAACAATGCCACAATAAATGATGGCAGCAGCAAACTTCATTGACACAGCTGTTTTGTCTGATTTGAATCTTGATTGTCAAATGTTGGCTTTAAGAGGGGGAAAAAGACTACTGCTTCTACTGCTACTGATAATCCAATGACTGCCTTTCTACCAGACAAGAGATTACCCTTAACAAGAACAGAGTTTACTGTAAACAAGTTTTTTTAGATTATTTCTATCCTGTAGGACCTATAAGAGTTCACCCAGAATAATGTTCATTATTGGATTGGCAAATAAGTATTTTCTTGACTTGTTGTTTAAAAGTACACAGCATAGAAGCAGACAACACAGCCATCATGTGGGGGGTATTTAAACCTCTGGGCTTTAGCATCTGGTCGACATACACCTCACAGCAACATATTTCTAAGCTTTGTTATGTCGCTTAAACAAGACAGACATTGTAGGGAGTAAATGTGTTTTTTTTTTTTACTCGACAAAAAGACAGGTTTGCAGTAATTGTGCATGTCAGGTTTGCCTGGTTTAGTCAGTGTTGTTCTCTGAAAATGTGATCTGTATGCCAATGGCTTTATGGGCACAGCCAGGGTTCTATTGTGTCTGCGAACATCCAGACCAAAAATTAGCTTCATTTTGTGACTGGCTATACCTTCATTTGACAACAATTAGGATTTTAAGTGAATTTAAATGGAATTGTTTCAGTTGTAAACTTAAAAAATTGCACATGTTTGTAAGCGTTAATTTTACATGTTGCTTGTTTGTGATTGAGAATCCTGTATTTCAAGAGATGCTTTAACTAAGAGTTTGTTGACAATGTAGGTAACAGAGATATACACACCAAATATTTTAGAAAAAATGTTATAGCTCCAAAATAAATAATTTAAGGATTCTGCAACATCCTGGAAAACCTGAAGGTTGAATGACCAATATTCCAGTCATAGAAAATCTGTGCAATATTGGGAATACAATGTCCTGGAAAGTTCAAGTTTTCCTGGACAATTATATTTCCTCCATCTGCACTGTAAGTGAATGAAAATGGACTAAAAGTTTTGTAGTGTTGTCACCTTGTCTCCAATGGGCAACATTGAAGTACATCAGCATGTGTTTGCCAAGACTTTCACTACCATCATTATTACATTTTCTTGTAAAGGCTGATTATTTGCCTTGTCGGTCTTCACAGGAAACACAGCCCTCCATGACTGTGCAGAGTCAGGCAGTCTAGAAATCATGAGGATGTTACTCAAGTTTGGAGCTTCCATGGAGCAGGATGGCTATGGCATGACACCACTTCTCTCTGCCAGTGTCACGGGTCACACCAACATAGTAGACTATCTGACAACACATCAGCAGGTCAGGTTCTGCCATTTGAGTTTATCTGTGAAGAAGTCTGTTTCGACTTTAAATATATTTAAATTCACAGACAAGCCACAGGGAGCGGATAGATGCCCTGGAGCTGTTGGGAGCCACATTTGTTGACAAAAAGAGAGATTTACTCGGAGCTCTGAAATACTGGAAGAGAGCAATGGACCTCAGATACATAGACAGTAACAGCATTGTCCATAAACCTGAACCCAAGCAGCTAATCATGGCCTATGACTACGCCCGAGAGGTGAGTCCATCTTTTCTGTGCTGATGGAGTTTGGTGATAGAAAATTGCATGTTTAAATACACCTCCCATTTTTCTTCCTCCTTTTCTTCCAAGGTGACAAATGGAGAAGAGCTGGACGGCTTAATTTCCGACCCAGATGAGATGCGGATGCAGGCTTTGCTAATCCGAGAGAGAATCCTTGGCCCACAACATCCAGACACATCTTATTACATCCGCTATCGAGGTGCGGTCTATGCAGACTCTGGGAATTTTGAGCGCTGCATTAATCTGTGGAAGTATGCACTGGACATGCAGCAGGGCAATCTGGATCCCCTCAGCCCCATGACTGCCTCCAGCCTGCTCTCCTTTGCTGAGCTCTTCTCCTTCATGCTGCAGGACAGAGCCAAAGGGCTGTTGGGGACGTCTGTGTCATTTGAGGACTTGATGGGAATCCTGTCCAAGAGCGTGTTAGAGATTGAGCGAGCAGGCAGGCAAAATGGACAAACGCCTTCTGACCCCGCACAGCTGAGCAAGGCACTGTCAATCATTCTGCACCTCATTTGTCTATTGGAGAAGGTGCCTTGTACTACAGAGCAAGATCACTTCAAGAAGGAAACAATCTATAGGTGTGTTCCTGGTTGTTTCATTTACTTTTGTAACAATTGCTATTCAGAATGTTTTTTGTTTCCTTCAATGTTTTTGTTCTGTTCCTGTTTTTATGTATGACCTCCCATTCAAGGTCTCATATGTATTACTCTGTTTTTCTTTCACTGCTTTTACTCAGAGGCCTTTGCAAATTTGTTAATGATTCTAATGCCCAAAGCTCATCATTTGGTTAAATTACAGCAGATGTCCTCATTATGATAGAAGATGCTCCTGTAATGTTTGTCGTTCATTCTCACATTCCTATTTTCCGACTGACAAAGTAAACACATTTCCATCTCTTCAGGTTCCTGAAGCTTCAGCCATGTGGTAAGAGCGGCTACAGTCCATTACATCTGGCAGTGGATCGGAACACCACGTGTGTGGGTCGCTATCCTGTCTGTAAATTCCCCTCCCTTACTGTCGCTTCCATCCTCCTGGAGTGTGGGGCAGATGTTAACTGTCGGGATGAAGATGGTAACAGGTCTGTTCCGTCTCAATCATAACTCAATATTTATTCTGTAGTCTCTAATTTTACTGTTCATTGCCCTTTGTTGTGTATAAATGACAGTGTGCTAATATGAGGTAAAATCTTTCTGTATAAGAATGAAAAATCCTATTGTACCAGAGCAAACCAACCAACCAATACCACAGGTTGAGATATTTCCCTGTATCATGTTATATCATTTTTTGTTTAATTTTTACAGAATATATAAATATAAATACAAATAAAAATCTGCATTCTTTTCCCACCAGCCCTCTCCACATAGCCGCATCAAACGGTCACCCTGACATCATGAACTTGCTCATTTCCGGTGGGACTCACTTCGACAGCACTAACGCCTTCCAACAAACCGCCTGTGACCTCCTGGATGAGAAGGAGTTGGCCAGGAATGTCATCCAGCCCATAAACCACACCACGTTGCAGTGCCTCGCCGCCAGGGTTATCATTAAGCATGGCCTGGAATACCAGGGAAACATCCCTGAGAAACTGGAGTCCTTTGTCCTGCTCCACAGATAATGATTGTGAAGGAGCAGAGGCTAAAGATTGAATGGCTGGATGGATGGATTCAGGAGGTGGTGTTCTTACGTCACAGAGCATATGAGATTCAATACCTGACTCTCTTCAGGTGTGATGAAATAAGAAACCAAACCATTTTTTTAGGGTGAGCATTTGCAAATCAGAAGTATTTGAAGAGCGTAAATCCGATTGTCCATGTGCACAAAATGTCCTCAGTCAACCAGTGCAATGTGGAGAAATGTGAATTAAACAGAGAGAGGAGACACTGTCCTCCTCCTTTGTGCTGTTTGATGCAGCTGCATCACTCTGGGATCTGAGATGTATTCGGAGTGAACTGCAACATGGAACAAACCAATGTATATTTGAACTGAGCAAAGGGTTACTGTGTTTTTATGCTTTAGAAAACATAATTTTTTTGCATATTCCACAATGCTATTTATTGAATGAAACTTGAGAGATTTTTCTCCATGCTGGCTCCAAATCTGGCCTCAACTTTGCCGTTTCTTTCTTCTCAGAGCAAGGATTAAGGTATTTCTACACATGCTGGGACTTCAGGTTAGGTTTTTGTTTTTTGGTCACTGTTGCCAACAGTCATGGGCCCCTTCCTCAGTCATCAGTAGTTATTGTTTTTTTTGTTGTTGTTGTTTTTTGTATTTTACAGTGAACATAGTCATTGTCATGCAAATCTGGAAATCAGCCAGTGGTGTGGATCTGTCATTTGTTATTAGTCCCACTCTGGTGTAAAACAAAAAGCTTTATGAGAAGGGTTAATGTGTGTGTGAATACCGCAAGTGCTTTATACTTCCTATGCACAGGCTATGCTGTTGTAAAGAGAGACTGTGCTGTGTATTCTGTACTCGCACCTGTCTGTGCAATATCTCCCATAAGTTTTTGTGTTTACCTCATCGCTGCCGTTTTCCTCTAGTATCTGGCTGCTTCACTCACTGAAGGTGGAGATACAAATTCATGAAGTGTGAATGGGTTTTTTTGGGGGGGTGGGGGGATTACACAAACCTTTGAGGACAACTGTGTGGTGGAGTGGAAATTCCAAATTGCACGACTGCCACTGAAACACCACACTGGCAAAACTTTAACCATCCACAACCGTTGATGTGTGCATGCCTGTCAACAGAAGTTACCTCCCAATGTTCAGACACAGTCAAACTATAGATGCCATTCAATGATCAAAAGGAGAACTCTGTATTTGGACGCTGTCATCATCGACCCACTGTGCATGTGCAGCAGCATTGTGACCAACTAATTCTTCATAACAAGTCATAGACTAGACCTGATCTAGGAAATATCTGCTTGCGTTGTACAACAGTCATCCAAGTGTACTGTATGGAAGCCAAAGGCACAAATGAGAGGGAGAAAGTGTCGACGTACGGAATAGTACAGCTTTGTGATCTTTGTTTGCACATTAGCATTAGATGTCTGGATTAAAAAAGGGCTTTTTCATAATCCGAAGGATTTCACATCTCAGTTTATTCAACCTGACAGTTGTAAACCAGACATGGGGAATGTGTGAAGACTCCCAGGACAACTTGACTTAAATCTGCACTTTACCACAGCGGAGTTGAAATTGATTTGATATGCCATTAATCAAGCTCATGTCTTAATAACAGTTCGACAATAAACCCATGTTGCACTTGTCTCTTTGTCCAAATGTCATTTTTGGCCTTGTTTTATTTGAAAGGCTTTTTTCTAGTGTTGTTGTGAAGCATTGTCACCTAAATCTTAGTTGGGATAAAATATGGGAAATGTTTTAGTTCCTTCCTTACAGTTACCTATCATCTGGTCTGTGTGTTATTTTTATTTAAAGTTGGAAAGTGGAGATTGTGCTTAAAAAGTGAAGCTGTCATTTTTTTTTTTGTTTGTTTGTTTGTTTGTTTGTTTGTTTGTTTTGGTGCTTTTAGGACCTTTGGAATTGGTTAGCTGATTAGAAAGAAAATCTAAACCTAAAACTCACTAAAAGGAATCACAGATGAGAATATTTATTTCATTTAGAGATGTGTATATATATATAGATACAGATACAGTGGATTGTTATTTTATATTTTTTATTTAATATATCTATCCCTTTAGTGAGTGAAAAATATAGGTTTACATATTTTTCTCTCTTAGCTACAGTTTATGTACAGTAGATATACATATATTTCTAATCCGTTTACTTTTTAGATTACAAAAGTAAATGAAGAAAATGGCAAAACACTCAATTTCAAGCATGCAGCTAATCTATTGGCTGAACTTCTCACATGACAAGATTCCTATTCACATGCTTCCAATAGAGCCTACAGGAACAGCTTAGTGTTGAGCAGCTTACACACAAGGACACATCGACATGTAGACCACCACAGACTGGGGGTCAAACTCTAAAATGCACAGCCTTTCCATCTTAAAGTTGCAAACTCACAACCCAGACTCAGGAATGCTGTCACTACCAAAAGTGAACATTCAATCTTCCGGTTTCTCTGGAACTCAGGCTCCGAATGCTGCTTATAAAGCAGATACTCCAGTGAGTGGTGGCCTCCTTCCAGACACTTAAAGTCTGTCTGCACTGAGGATCTCTTCAGACAGAAATATCTCCATCTGAGCCTCTTAATCTCATGCTGGAAGCCTGTGCGCCCTCAACTATATTCAGTAATTTAGTAGCAGGAACTACCCATTATGTTCTATTACTGTAAATGAAACAGGATGATGGGGAGAAAAGTCACATGAGTGTTGGGAGGCTTTCCAGATAGGTGGTTCAAGATGCTGTTCCACTTTTTAAAAAAATGAATCCCTATAACTTGCTATTACATTGTTATCAGTGCATTAACATGTGACTAAAGATGGAAACGGAAGAGGGAACAGAGTTGCCACCAAGTCCTTCCTGTCATGTAGAGATCACTGTAGTGCTCTTAGTGATGTGTGACAGGGAGGCGTGAGCAGAGGAGTCCTTCATGTTACTGCAATCTGCAGTGTGAAATCCAAATTATGTATGAAAATACAGGGTGGTGGTCTGCCTGCTTGGCAGTGTCACTTGTGGTGCCAACTTACCTCAAGGGTGATTTCCTTGGTATGATCACGGGGTGGAGATTTGGGCTGTGGCAGGGGAATTATTGGGGGTCATCCTTATACTTACCTTCAGGGTAAGGGAAGGGGCTGAGGTAAGGGATGGGGTGGAATAGAGTGGCTTACTGGACTATGGCTTTTCCTGATTAGTTGGTTGTTTTTATAAATGGACTCTCTCACTGTAAGACACATTTTCAGTAGTGGACCTTGGGGTCATCGAGTGTTTCGGCCATTATCACTAGACACTCTCCCCCTAGGAAGGCCCCACTGGGGTTGATCATGCCCCAGGGTGTGTCTTGTTAATCAATTACTATTAGGTTGTGAATTATAACATATAATAAAAATATTTTTATATGAAGGTTTTAATCAAAAGTAAAGACGCTTTATATAAATAAGTAAAATACCATAGTGAACAAATATCATGAGTATGTATATATACAGTTAAAGGTATATGAATAATAAAAAATATCACAAATAGTAGTTAAAAATATAATTACATTCACAAATTTGTAGACAATTAAGAAATATACACACAGTCAGAAAATTACTATTGACACAAGAAATATAGTAGGGCATATGGTACCTTCAAGTTAAATTCAGTTAAAGAAACACACACACACATATATACCGTGTGTATACTGTGTGTGTATATACAGTATATACAATCAAACCGTGAAACAGTCACTTAGATGTATAAATGTAGGTCATTCATGTTGACCTTTGTTTTTGCTGAATCATGTGTTTACTCAATACAGTAGGCCAGGACATAAATTACTGTAAATGTTTCATAAACTACTATTTGTATTTATGATAGTATTTGTGCTTGTAGAATAAACATATAACAAAGGCAGAAGACAACAAGTTATACACAAATCTTTGTTCGTGAAAATAACAGCACAACACAACAAAATATTCAGTTAAATAATTGGGTTTTTTTTAGATCTAACATAAAGATGATGAAAAAACCTGTAATATGCAACCACCAGATCACAGAGGTTGTCAATCAACTGACAGGTGGATCACATGAATGTAAAAGTCTCCTTAATGTCAATTAACTCCGACATTTTCACCTCACCTTGCATTTTGCCACCTGTTTTCCCCATAATCAGTCATTCCTGGAAAGTCACACCTTTTGAATCAATACCAGAGGAGGGCAGGAATTTCTTAATGAGTCACTGTGACTGGAGGTGTGTGCGTGCTGGGCAACTGAGGCAGCACAGAGCAGGTTTGGGGAGATATTTTTCAGTCCTACTGAAACGACCTACATACAAAGAGTTTGTCACAGTCTGTACCTGTCATTTACCAGGCAGTCCTTTAACGTGACACCTGAAATCCTGCTGTGAGTGTACACAGAGTCTGGCACCAGGAAACAAACTTGAATTATATCCTGAACTGCCTGAAGACAGAGAAGAAGACATGAAAGTTCATTCTGAACAAAGATCCACTTACTGTAGTTCTCCAACTCAGTGAGGAGTGCCACTGTGTACTCTGTGGTGTTGCTTGATCATAACCACACCCAGGATTACCAGCTAAAAATAACTCAGATATGTTAAGGTTGAGGACACATGTTCATCTGGTGTGATGATGATGGAAAAACCACATCATCAGAATAAACCAAACCACTGTTTGTCAATGATTTTAATGTGATTTAAAACAACATTTAACAACCCCTTAAAGACCAAGTAAACTAACCTAGTGTGATTGTTCTGAAGACTTGTCGCCTCCTTCAGTCGCTGTAAGCTAATTCAGTTCTACATTTACCTGGAGCTGCGATGTTTACATCTTCCATTGAATATAATTGTCAAGTGTGCAGCACTAGTGTTTTCAGGACTCTGTACCCCACTTACAGCAGTTGCTCCAAACTCAAAATGTCAAACTTCATGACATAGTGAGATGTGGAGGAATGTACAGTACGATTTAGAGAAAGGTGGGTGGTGGGTGTGGGTGTTCTTGGTATAACCACTTGTTAATTTTTAATTATTATTTTTGTATTAACTTTATCTATCCCTCAGTGGGGGAATTCTTGTGTTAACTGCAGATCTGCTGCAACAGGCTTCCTCTTAGAGGCATCAAGTATGTGGTTGCTTTAGGAATATATGAGGTTCAAAAAAAGATATTTTTTTTAGATTAGAATTATAGGGTCAGATTAGAGTTAAGGTAAGAGTTGGGATTATGCATATACTTGTCATAGGTTTGTATAGGACAGGGTGTCAAACTCATTTTGGTTCAGGGGTCACATATAACCTAATAAGATGTCATGTGGGCCGGACCAGTACAATCATAACACAATTACTTAAAAATAACAATAAGTCCATGTTTTTCCCTTTTGTTTTCATGCAAAGAATTACAAGTATATTAGGAAAAAATATATTTTATGACATATTTGATAAAACATCACTGATGTGAAGTGTTTCTGTGGTTGCATAATGTAGTGGTTAGCACGCCTGCCTTGGAAGCAGAGAGCAAGAGAGTCCTGCGTATGATTCCCAAGGAACCACATACATGATGCGTCTGCTAAATGCATAAATGTGTTTGTAAAATATTTCACTGTCAACATTCATCAAGTGGGGCAGCTGGCCCTCAGGCCATATGTTTGACAAAGACCACTGTGTGTGTGTGCATGCATATTTGCAGGTGTGTGTGTACAAAGGCCAGATTTTCTTGACGAGTCACTGGTCATAAAACAATGATTACAGGCATCAGTAAACACTGATGTCAGAACCTTGAAAGTCCACTGATGTTGCAGATTTGTCTGCTTATAAATTATAAAATATATAAAGTTTATAGTTGTTTTAAAAATACAGGTGTCAGAGATAGTGGCGCTTTGGCCCAGAGAGGCAATGTCTCTGTCATCGGTGTGGAACCCCAGGGTTCACCTCCTGGTGGGTACCTTCCAGTGGACTCACCACCCGCAGGAAGGTTCAGAGGGGTTGGTACGGTGCAGTGTGATTTGGGTGGAGACTGCTGCCCCCGTGACCTGGTAACGTATAAGTGGATGAAAATGGATGGATGGATGGATGGGTGTCAGAGATAAATTCTAAAATGTCTGAAAACCTACTCGTCTGGCAAGATATTATGACTTTTTTTTACCAGATTTTGCCATAAGATGTTCAAACAAATGTATCCACGCCTTTGTCAATTCTACAGCAAATTGCATTTCAGATAAGAACAAATTAAGTCACTTCTCAGATGTTATTTTAGTTCATTCCAAATTTCAATTTTGGTTATGCCCAGGAAACAAAATGCAGAAAACATTTTTGGTGGTTTTTTTTGGCAGTGCTGATTGGAAAATAGAGCTTAATTTAAGTCATCTTTACAGCGCTGTAAATATTTCTGTAAGAACCAGAGCCTTTCACTCACATTGTGATTTGAATGCTTTAATTTTGCTTTTACTTTTGCTTTTTTAAATTTTTTTGATAAATGAGGCTCACACTCCAAATCAGTGTTTCTTGCTACTTTGCTGTTCTGACAGTGTGTCACTGAGAGAACCACCTGCTGGATGTCAAATTGAGAAAGTAGTGTTTAGAGAACATGACTGATTACATAAGAAGACATGTGGCTAAAAAAGGGTAGGCAGGGTATTAACATGAGGATCACT